ACCCCAAGAATTGGGGTTTTAGCTAGACATCATAAAAAGGTAAAAAAATACCAAATTGATTATCCATCAACTGGGTAAGTGTAGATTCTTCCTTACAATGCTCCAATTCAAAGAATTTCAAAGACCCGCTTCCAATTTCTCAAAAGTGAAAAACTTCAATTCTTCAAAACATAGGAAAAACTAGAGAAAACTGTCTCACCAGTTCAAAACTCAATAATAGACTAAAAATATATGAGCTCAGATACTAAACTAAATGTTCAAAAATGTATTTATAGTGGCCAAAAATATGCTACAAAGAATCACTCGGTGAAGTAAGTCAGGCTCGCCGAACCACTCGACGAGCCGCCCTTTGGTCATTTCCATCGCCCTTCTGCCTTGCCATTCAACATCCTCAAGGTCTGTAACTTTGGGCGATCTAACACTGCATCACGGAACCACTTGGCGATTTGCCGACTGCTCTTTTCTCTACCCAACTTGGTTCTTTCCTTCAAGGCTTGGCACACTGGAACTTTAGGCGGTCGAGTATCCATTCGGCGACTCGCCAAGTGGACTTGGCGATCACCAGACTTGCTATTCTTCATTCTTTCATCTCACTTTGTTCCTTTTTGTAAATTAGTGTCCTTGCTTTGTTACTCAATCAATATACCTAGAAATAAATGGTTTTACATCAATTATTGACACAAAATAAGCATTTGAGGACACTAAATCTGTATAAATAAAGTCCTAAATGAGTCCAAATCTCAGACTCATCAGGTGTCGCACCATTCAGTACGCCCCAAACCACCATCAGTAGTTTGGGGATTGGTGCAACGTGCCACTCAGTACGCCCCAAACCCCCTTAATAGCTTAGGGGCTGGCGTCACTCAGTGCGCCAGGGTCGCTAGGTCCCCTACCCTTCCGACCTTCTTTCCGTGTGAGTTCCCTCAAATAGTAACTATGTTTTCTACTTGATATACTCACTTAAAATCATCATTAGTCCTTGAGAGATCATGCATATTTAAGTCATAACTCTTGAATTCATAATTCAAATTCAAGATAGAGTTAAGAGTAACGTTTGAAGAAGTTCTTTGAGTCACTTTGAGAAGTCTTTTACAATCATTTAAAACTTGAGTACTTGAGTATGAGGATGAGGAGAGTTGAGTTCATGTCTTCAAAATGAATATAAGGGAACGAAGTATTCCCAATTTTAAATACTTTTACATTTAAAATGAGAGGAAACCTTGATTTCCAAATGATTTAATGAGGAGTTTTTGAGCATCATCTCTTTTAAGAGAACCTTTTTCAGTAATAATATCAACGCCTGAGGATGAGGAAATGTTTTTAAATATATGAGCAGGAGTTATATTATTGGGAGTAGTATTGAGCATCAATATGGGGATGAGTTCAGACAACTCAAAGTTCTCATAAACCATGTATGCTAGCTGAGTAAATGGTCATACTTTTTAGAAGATTCCTTATTTCTTTTTAAGCATAACTTAGTGGATCCACTTAGTTGAGGATGTCTTATACTACAACACGATATAAGACAGTTCTGGCAATGTGGGCGAGACGATATATGATCACATAGCTCATAGTGATGGTTTTTGGTTAGAAAACTCCCAAATAAGAGTAAAGAGTTATTATTGTATTTTTAAATATATTGAGTTATTATCTACTGTTTTAAAAGCTTTATATAAACTACATATTTATTTTTTCTTTCTTATTGAGTTGAGTTGAGCTGAGTTAAGTTGAGGTGAGTATGGTTTCCCCTTTTATCAGTTAAAGCTTGCAGGTTATGTTCAGTGTTCCCTTTACATGCTCGTACATTCAATGTACTGACGTCATTTGGCCTGCATCATGAATGATGCAGATACAAGTATTCAGGATTATCAAGCGACACTCCGTTGATCCAGTCGAGTTCCAGATTTACTTGGTGATCCTCCTTGCTTCCGAAGGATTTCCATTTACTTTTTAGTTTTGTTTTATTAGGATGTCGTCGATCTTGTCCTGATGTCCATCAGAGTTATTAGAGGCTTCATAGACAATATAGTTTTGAGAAGTCTGTTTCATTTTCAATTGTTACTGTTCTAGACTTGAGTTGCCTCTTTGGTCTAGTTGAATGTTTTCTTTAAAATATTCTAAGTTTTCAATTTTGAGACTGTTTGAGAAAACCTTTACTTTTGAGTTCATCTAATGTTGAATAAGTCTTCCGCTGAGTATTGAGTCAGGTCAAGGGTTCACTTGGATAGCAGCAATGGTTCTCGAGTGTCAGTCGCGTCCAGGATGTAGGCTTGGGGTGTGAAAATCATGCTCATATTTGTATACAACAAATAAGAGGAAAAACTGTAATCTTTTACGTAAATATTTATGACCCACTTGGTTGTAGTAATCTGAAGATAATAAAATCTTTTCTTAATTTATAGTCTCAATATAATAATTTTTCTTTCAATTCTCCAAAACTTAAAAAGTTTCTCTTAAGACTTACTACAACCCCAATATTAGTGACAATTTCATTCCTCCAGATAGTAATAAATTAGCCCTTACAGAACTCTCAATTAATTTTATATACTACTACAATTTCACAACACTATTATTATGGTGACCATCTCCTTCAAGGAGAAATTATCATCATTGCAGGTAAAACTTATTTGACAAATTTGTGTTGTCACAAAACAATATTTATTTTAGTCATGATCACAATCTTTGTAGGAAATAACTATTTCTTTATTCTGCCTTCGGTAGTTCATAATAAAAAGTACCACAATATTTGTGATGCACTCAAAGTATATGACCAAATGATCATTTATGTCAATTTTTTTTATTCTCTCAAACCCCCCCGTAGAGGTAAGATGTGAACATGTCCTTATCCATACTTTTATCACATTTTGGCACATTCACCTTTAAGAATGGCCAAACATTCACAATGCTTAATACAAGTCATGGTCTTTTCAAGAAATGGACTAATCATTAATATGTACTTCATAAATTTGCATTATAAGCACATTGCCATGCCTATGAAATTCATCATATTTTTGTGACACACCTCAAAATCACTTTGAAAGGTCAAGTGTACCTATTTTATCGTTCTTTCTTTTAATGAAGGATGTTTATAAATTTATCAAATTATTAGGTCGCGCAACGGCCACGGACCTTTCATACCATTGTGATGATAAGAATTACCTTCACATTTTGAAGGACTATTTGGAGTGCCCATAGTGTCCTTCCTTTTATAATTAGCACAATGATTAATATTATAATTATGTCCCTCAATGCCATTATTCATACATTCAATCACTTGCCATCTTTCAGACTTGTTATTCACCGCTACCACATTCATATGATAGAATGGAGCAATTGAGCTGATTTCAAACTTATCATGATAATGTACTGCTACCACATTAAATTCAATAGGGCAAGATTCATGACTTCTCATCAAAAGCATATTAATTTTTCCAATTAATCATCTCATCAATATAGTGCGCTGAGACTTGAAACCCAACGTCTTACCCGTAAGAAAACGTTTTAGGCTATAATTCGTTGGGACTTTAATCCAATATCTTATCATCATGACGCATCAGAATTCAAATCGTTGTGTTACCCTCTTGGTGCGATAAAACTTGAATCTACTGTCTTATCATGCAACATTTTTCATTATGGTGCATCCAGACTTTAACCTAATGTCTTACTCTTTTGGCGCGATAGGACTTGAATCCACCGTCTTACCCTCAACCAATGCTATAATAGACCAAAGTACAACATGACTCACCCTTTGAGTCTTTCAAAATATTGAAATAAAATTCATAAAATATAATCACTTCTTTCAACTAATGCCTTTGACAATATAAGTAATTGTAATAAGGAAAAATATAAAATTTATCCTCAAGATTGGCATAATCAAAATAATATTCAAACTCATGCTATTATAACTTTATACGTTGTTTCATTTAAGGAATTTTGTAGAGCATGTCATATTCAATCAGTATTAGCATGTCTTTGGTTCTTGGTCAATGTTAGTGACCGAACACTATTGTATTGTAGAGTATCGTTTGAAACTTATTTCTAAGTCATAAAATGATTTTAGAAAATACATACATGATTTTATGCATATAATACATTGATTGCAGTAGTTATGATTTTTCCTACTTGATTTTCATAACGAGATCAACTAGAACATGAGTTAAAGAAAAATCAAAACTTAATCTCAATTGGCTAGAGTCTCGTGCTGATAACGTGTTATAAAATCAAACTCAGAACAATATAAGTACGAAGAGAAGAAGACAAGAAACGTAGATGAAAATGACAATTTTTCTTCTTATTCAAGTGTGTCATACATATGGTGAATGATACTTCTATTTATAGTGTTGATATATCACCCCAAATGTCATCATGTTAAATGCCCAAACAAGTAGGTACATAGTCATCCACAATGGATCATATCACCTTGGAAATATACATACACGAATTCAAGTAATTAATGAATAAACTCAATGGGACAATTCACTTAGTTTAATGGATTTATGACATAATTTGTTAGTTAATAATATAACGTAAGAGAGAATGAATAGAGTAATATATGTATATAGTTTAATAATTTGAATTGATAGTTGTATTCCGTCACGTCTCATCTGCGTATTTGATTTTTCAGAAAATTGTTAAACACAATGGAATTAAAGTTCAAACAAGTGGGGAGGGAAGGAAGGAGGAGATAATGTTGATGGTAAAAGGAGACACACACACATAACATGCATGCGGGCCCACAATGGCACGTAGCAGATGAAACGTGTAGATAAAGAGTAGGTTTAACGTGTGGTCATCACACTTGCCTTTCCCTTTGATCTTTAAAAATCAAATTCCTTCCAACTCCTTAGATATTTCTTTTCTACTAGACTACTAGATCCTAGAAAATTTCAAGTCACTCAATCCAAATCCCCAAAAATTTGGATATTTATTTCTTTCATATCATAACATATAGAGTATATAAAAATCATACAAATCTTTTTAAACAAAGTGAAAGAAAAAGTGCACCAATTTTAAAAAAATAATAAATGGACATGGTGGCGAAGGTACACGTGTCAACGCTAGACTGCCACCGCCTTCTACCGACCGGTAATGTTTTCCGGCCTTTGATTGGACGGCGTAGAGTTGTTGTACAACCTTGCAGGAGCTTTAAGTCTGAGGATGTGGGCCCGGCTGAATATGTGAAGGTGAACAAATTTGTTGGAGCTATTAGGTCTGCTGTATGGAGTTGTTCAAAGCCAAGTTTGAGAACTGAAAATAAGCTTAGAGAAGCTATGGAGATGTTGGAGGAGAGATTATTCTCGGTATATATGTTTCTTACACATCAATTCCAATGTGAAATGCTTTTTTATTTTCCTTTCCCTAACATCAATTGAGAATGGCAAAAGTTAATTTGTATTCCAGTCTTTGGGGTCTTACTATGCCTTGATCTCGATTCTGTCTTGATTTTTGCAGTTGGCTTTATATGTTGGAAGATATATTATAACAATGATGAGCACAGGTGTTGTCATGTTCGTTGGGTTTCAGTTGTCAGGTTAGCGAATTCATTGGATCAAATTGAAGTTTAAGGCATTTATAGATGTAACTGTATAAGGGGTATATATACTCTAATTGTAAATGTTACAGGTGGAGATAGCCAGATGAATGAATTGATATGGTACAGCTGGCTTGGAGGAATTATTATCGGCACTATGATAGGATCCAATTTGGTTTTGGATGAAGTTGCTCGAGCTGGCCCCCGTAATGTCCTTATAACAGGAAGGTATAACACTTTACTAATATTCAAACTCATAGCTTCATTTTGATTGTATTTTGCAGTTGCTAAATTTTTATGCATGCGTGTTTAATCATCTGCATTTCATTTCAAAAAAATTGTGTTGAATTAACAACGGCACAAGGTTAGTCTTGCTACCTGGACGGTAGAAAGTGCAATTCATCTCCCTCATCTTTAACAATTTATATGTTGAAAATGCATTTACATATTTGAAGATGATTCTACTTAACCCTCAAAGTTAAGTCTCATTGAACTAATATCCCTTTTCATCAAGGGAATTCTCTCTTCCGTTTCTCCTCGTGAATTTTGCAACAAAGAGAGAGAGAAATTATAGGTTTTTCAATTTGGACTGAAGATGGTGTTCTAACGTAATTACCTTTTAATTATTGTTTGGTGCAGTACAAGGGGACTAGGGAAAGCTCTTGCGCGCGAATTCTTACTTTCTGGAGACCGAGTCATTGTTACCTCTCGCAGGTAATTCCAAGGAATTATTGAATCCACTTATTTAGTTTGCTTGTAGTTAAAGATCTCTTGTTAATACATGATTCCTGAAGACAGCCCTGTGTCTGTCGGTTTGACTATCGAGGAGCTTGAGGAAAATCTGAAGCAAGCTTTGAATGCTGCCACTGGGTCTGCTAGAAAAAAGCTGGCACATGCAAAAGTGGTTGGTATCGCTTGTGACGTCTCTGACCCTGTTGATGTTAAAAAACTGGGCAAGTTTGCTGCAGATGAACTTGGTTATATTGACATTTGGGTAAGTAATTTTCTTTTGTTAACATTTCTTTATCTCGATAGCAAAAGACGACAACAACAACAATCTACCTAGTGAAATCCCACAAAGTGGGGTTTGGGAGGGTAGTGTACACAGAACATACCACTACATTGGGGAGGTGGAGAGACTCTTTTGAAAAGACCCTCGGCTCAAGTGCATCAAACCCAAGTAAAAGAAGAAGAACATAATGGAAGAATTAATAAGAAAAGCAGTGTAAAGTCTACAACAGAAAAACAATAACAACATTAAAATAGTGGGATAATCGAAATACACTAAACATCATATGGCAAGGACTACAGGGTTTTGAGTAGAAAATATAGTCATCCACATCCAGAGTACTTGTGAGGAAAAAAAAGCCCTTTTCCTGATTTGTTGTTCTGTTTTCATGTTTCTAAAGATTGTCTTTTATATAGGTGAACAATGCTGGGACAAACAAAGGCTTTCGACCCTTGCTGGAGTTTACCAACAATGATATTCAAGAGGTATGCATGTTGTTGACAATCTTCATATATTTATGTTGATGCTCTACAACTTCTTCCATTTCTAAACTCTAGCAAAATATTGTTTTCAAGGATGCATATGTCATAGTAGATGGATCGGGGGTGGGTCGGCATTAGGGTGGGGTATATTAAATTTTCAAGTCAGAGCTGTTTTTGTTATTTCCCCCCTCTCTCTCTCTCTCTTTTGTGGAAGGGTGGGTGGTGTTTGCACTGTGAGTTTCCTAACAATTCACTAGCAGAACTTTGTTAACAAATTATTTTCCCCGTCCCCCCAAACACATATATATAGTTTTTATACTTTATATACCAGGTCACTCATTACTAACACAGGTCAGTCATTTTAACTATTCGTTTTCCTGGATTATCCATCAATATATCCCCATTTCTTCTTTTTTCTGATAGCTACTTCTCGACAATTTCCCCCCATCTCGTCATGCATAGCAAGCGTTCATGGTTATTGAATGTTCAAGTTAAAACTTAATGTGCATATAATCAACTATCTGCTGTGTACTTGCATGGTGGGTAACCTAATATTCTTGTAAGTATTTCTGGCCTGTTGCTCACCAAAATCATTTTATACAGATTGTCTCCACAAACCTGATTGGTTCTATACTATGCACTAAAGAAGCCATCCAAATCATGGAAACCCAAAACAAAGGTGGACATGTCTTTAACATGGATGGTGCAGGTTCTGGAGGATCTAGCACCCCACTAACAGCTGTGTAAGTTGATTGTTGTGGTTGGAATTCTAGGTTATCTATTATGATTAGCGGATCTTTACCAGACATTCATCAAATACTTTTCTGATGGATATTGATTTCGGTGTTATCACCTTTACTGTTCTGCAGCTATGGGTCTACAAAATGTGGTCTCAGGCAGCTTCAATCATCCCTACTGAAGGAGTGCAAGCGGTCAAAAGTTGGAGTGCATACGGCCTCTCCAGGCATGGTCCTAACTGACCTACTTCTGAGGTATGTGAAGAGGATCATCAGATCTGTGCACTTAAATGTCTTTTGAGTTGCTTCATGAACAATATATGTGAAGAGGATCATCTGTCCGGTTTGGTATCCTATTCTTTTTGGTAGTGCCACCAAGGAGGACTAGTTATCCACACCATTCAGTGGTACATAAAGACTACTGAAATATCAGACCAGAGATTCTTACCTCTGAGATGATTCTCTTTTCTGATGTGCAAAGATAGATTGATAGTTTGAATTTCTTTTTTTGTTCTAGTAATCAATTGTGACCACCTTTTCTAATCCTTCCACCATGGTGAAACTGGAGCCTAATTTAGTGATCTCCCTTTCATACTCTATCTCCAATGCCCACTAGTAGATAGAAGTGACAAATGGGTGGTTTGGGCTGAATTTGAGTGGGTCAAAATGGGTTGAGTTAATAAATGGATGGGTTATTGACCTACCCAAAAGTTACTTGGTATGGTTTGGACTGATATGCGTCCAAATACGGGTACCCAACCAATCCAATTCTTACTAAGTTTTAATTGCTTTATTTGTTGTTTTATAAAATAAAAAAATTGTACTTTATAAAACTAGTTTTTCCTTTATTACGTCTATACATAACATATCAAATTAAAAGATGTCTTTTTGAAATTATTTTGACAAGATTTCTCATGAGTCAATTTGTGCTACATATCAATGCAATAGAAATTGGGCTTAAATTGGTTGGTTGTGCTAATAAATGGGCGGGTCAATAGCCCATTGAAACATGGGCGGATAATGTTTTCTTGGGCTAATTTTGCCACATGTACTTACAGGAGAAGTTAATAATGATACTCATCTACATGAGTAGGTTTTCTTTGTTTTAAAACAGGAAGTGTTGGGCTTTTTCTCCCTGCTTTTACAGGCAACTATTTAAACTGCTTAGAACTTTTAAGAGTATACTTTTCTTTTCGATTTTCATTAGGACCATATCAAATTATTTTATAGTTCAGTTTACTAAGAATGAGACTCTCCTGCAGTGGATCAACTATCCAAAATAGGCAGATGTTTAACATCATTTGCGAACATCCAGAGACAGTTGCTAGAACACTAGTGCCAAGGATGCGGGTTGTAAAAGGAAGTGGAAGAGCCATCAATTATTTGACTCCACCAAGGATCTTAATTGCCTTAGTAACCGCATGGTTGAGACGGGGCCGATGGTTTGATGATCAGGTAACCTATTACATTTAACAGGTGCATGTGGGGTTTTATGTGTTGCCATAATTTGATGCTTTATGATTTTCTCTGTCAATATGGTATAGCTAAGCTTGTGTACTAATATCTCATGGAGTACATAGTGATAGTGTTATGTTTGTCAGCATTACCTATTGAGAAAAGCAAGTATTACTTTAGTAGGAAATAATTGAATAGTTTATACTCAAAGCTCAGTCTGCTAATATGTTCCAGTCTTGAGTGTTCATCCTTGTATAAGCTTCAGTTTCAAGTGTTATTAGCTTTTTGATTTGTAAATTACTCTTATGGTTTTTAGTAAGTTGCTAATTATTTATACATGTTCAGGGAAGAGCACTGTATGCTGCAGAGGCGGATCGACTCCGTAACTGGGCTGAGAGTCGGACACGTTTTTCATTCACAGATGCGATGGAGATGTACACTGAGAATACTTGGGTGTCGGTGTTCTCACTCTCTGTAGTTTGTGCATTCATCATATTATCTAGCACAGGTAGTACATAGAGTGGACTTAGATGCTAGCCTCAATTGGTTGAGGTGGTTTGGAAAATAGGAAGCACTGAATTATGACACAGCTAACTTACATCACTCCAGCTTTAAAATTGATCATAAAGAAAGGACATATCCAATTGGAATTGGTGTTTGCTTTATCTATTACATGCTTAAAAAAGAAATCAGCTAGGCATTGGCATGATGGTCTCGGTGAATGATATTGGATGTATAGGAATTTGGCCTTATGAAATGTAAAAATGAAAGTATCAGTATTCTTTTAGCAAAAATCAGTGTAATAACTATTGTTATTGAGATGTTCTGAACCCTGGGTCTCTTCTTCCTTCAGCCTTGTTGCATTTTTCTTCTTGTTGTGAGAAATGCTACTTTGTTTTTGTTAACAAAGAGCTTGCCTTGCCCAATTTCATGATCATCTGCATATACCCAGAAGTTGCATTTGGAATTATCTACGCATTTGGGGTGAAAACGAAATGTTTCTAGTTCTGATGATGGTTATGCTGTAGTCATTTAAAATTATTAAATATAAATTTATAAAATGATTCGATTTTGTATAAAATTCATGAATATATTAGTCCAAATAAACATTAAGGATTAATATTGAGTCAATTATTTAAATCTAATAAATATGAATTTAATTAAAGTCTGCTCCATAAAGCTCATATGCCATGTCACTTAAATCTGATTGGCCGAAGAGAATCATATTTCTATCACAACTCTTCTATTCTAAAACTATAAATAGGGGTCTCATAATTCAGAAAAGAAATCAAGAATTCTAAACAAGAAGGAGAAAGCTCGTGGATCAAACGCCATAGATTTCTCTACAAGTTCAAGAATTCTAACAAGAAGTTGGAGAAGGCTCGTGGATCAAAAGCCACAGATTTCTCTACGAGTTTAAGAATTCTAACGAAAAGCTAGAGAAAGCTTGTGGATCAAAGACCGCAGATTTCTCTACAAGTTCAAGAATTCTAGAAGTCAAGATCAAGATAAAGTTCAAGTTCAAGAACGATCAAGATCAAGACCGCTAGATTCAAGATCAAGCTCGAAGCCCTTGGATTCAACTAGAAGTTAAGATCAAGATAAAGTTCAAGTTTAATAACGATCAAGATCAAAATCGTCGGATTCAAGATCAAGATAAAGTTCAAGTTCAAGAACGATCAAGATCAAGACTGCCGGATCCAAGATCAAGCTCGAAGCCCTAGAATTCAACTAGAAGTCAAGATCAAGATAAAGTTCAAGTTCAAGAACGATCAAGATCAAGACCATCAGATTTAAGATCAAGCTCGAAGCCCTTGAAATCAACTATAAGTCAAGATCAAGATAAAGTTCAAGATCAAAGATCAAAGATCAAGATCAAGTTCAAGTTCAAGATAAATTCAAGATGAAGCTCAAGAGCCCTTGAATTATATCCAAAAAAGGCGAATTCAGAGGAATCATAGAGATTGTAACACTCGCACTTTAAATCAATAAAACGATTGTTGCATAATTTTCTATTCTTGATTATTATTTTCTTGACGTGAATTTTATCGTCTACAAATTCTGGCACGCCCAGTGGGACAATCTCTACCTCTCATCTCAACTTTTAAAGCATTAAAGAATATCAAAATGGCTTGCACTATAGAACAACGACTAGCAAGCTTAACTAAAGCAATTGAAGGCCTGACAAAGTGCGCACACGAACAAGATGCTAAACTTTCCAAGCTGACAAATAAGATGGATAACATAATTGAGAGAAGATCGAGTCAAGCACCTCTGAAGCTTCCTAAAATTCAAGAAGAAGGAGAGTCTTGAGTAAAGTAAACAAAGATCAAAGAGTTTCATATCTCCGCTGAAGGTTTGATTTCAATTGATCAATTGAAGGATTTTATCATAGAGGCTATCGAAGACAAATCTGAGTTTTCATCCAAAATTTCTCCCACATATGCAAAGCCATATACACAAAACATTGATAACTTGAAAATGCCTGAGGGTTATCAACCTCCTAAGTTTCAACAATTTGATGGCAAAGGAAATCCCAAAAAACATATAGCGCACTTTATCGAGACTTGTAATGATGCTGGGATGTATGGTGATTATCTCATTAAAGAGTTCGTTCGATCTCTCAGAGAAAATGCTTTTGATTGGTACACAGATCTCGAACCAAATTCTATAGATTGTTAGGAGAAGTTAGAGAAAGAGTTCCTCAATTGTTTCTATAGCACAAGACGCGCCTTTAGTGTGATTGAACTTACAAAGGCTCATCAAGGTGAAGATGAGCTAGTTATTGACTTTATCAATCGCTGGAGAAGTTTGAGCCTTAACTGCAAAGATCGCCTTAGTGAAACTTCTAGCATTGAATGTGCATCCAAGGCATGAATATTGCAAGGATTAAATCCCGATACATTCGAAGAGTTGGCAACTCGTGCACATGACATGGAATTAAGCATGACTTTAAGAGAAGATCAACGATCTCCAGTCTATGAACCTCATGAAGATGAAGATATAGAAGAACTCCAAAGTGGGGGCAGGTCTGTATCTGAAGATGACTTTTAAAACTCAATGTATATCTAAATGCTCCTAGAGGCATGAGGCTAAACTGCATATCACGAAACTCTTCAAATTTTAGCTTAATCTTAAAGTTGAAACACTCCTCGAAATATGAGCTTAAATTGTATGTCATAAAACTCTTTAAATTTGAGTTAAATCTTCAAGTTGAAATGCTCCTTGAAACACGAGCTTAAACTTTATGTCTCAAGGCTCTTCTAATTTAAGCTAAATCTTCAAGTTGAAATGTTCCTTGAAACACGAGCTTAAATTGTATGTCTCAAAGCTCTTCCAATTTGAACTAAATCTTCAAGTTTAAATGCTCCTTGAAACACGAGCTTAAACTGTATGTCACAAAGCTTTTTAAATTTGAGTTAAATCTTCAAATTGAAATGCTCCTTGAGACACGAGCCTAAACTGTATATCAATAAGCTCTTTAAATTTGAGTTAAATCTTCAAGTTGAAATGCTCCTTGAAACACGAGCTTAAACTGTATGTCTCAAACCTCTTCCAATTTGAGCTAAATCTTCCAGTTGAAATGCTCCTCGAAACACGAGCTTAAACTGTATGTCACAATGCTTTTCAAATTTGAGTTAAATCTTCAAATTGAAATGCTCCTTGAGACACGAGCCTAAACTGTATATCATAAAGCTCTTTAAATTTGAGCTAAATCTTTAAGTTAAAATGCTCCTTAAAAATGAGCTTAACGGTATATCATAAAGCTCTTTAAATTTGAGTTAAATCTTCAAGCTAAAATGCTCCTTAAGGTATGAGTCTAAACTACATATCACTCTTGGTCCGCAAGAGTATTAACTGTGTACGACACACAAAAAAATATTCTCCTAAAACTACGTTGTGACTTGATCCTCTTCATTGAGGTATATAGGCGTTTAGAACCATATTCTAAGTTCAGTTGCATGAGTGTCAAAAAATCATATGTTCCCACTTGATCTGTCACATGAAATAATCTTTCATCAAACTCTGGACTTGCACCAAATGGTAGTGACTTGATGGGGGCAAACCCTTATGAATATAGGTTGTTTTGAAACTTGAAGTCTTCAAAAATCTCCAAGTCTGCCGGTTGAAGTCTTCAAAATTAATAAAAATCTCAAAGTCTAGAAGTTGTCAAATCAATCAAGTTTACTTAAATTCTTCAAGTCTGCAAGTTGAAGGCTTCAAACTAAAAAAAGTAATAATCTCCAAGTCTAGATGTTGAGGTCTTCAAATCAATCAACTTTGCAAGTTGAAGTCTTCGAATTCTTCAAGTCTGCAAGTTAAGGTCTTCAAATTCTTTAAGTCTGCAAGTTGAAGTCTTGAAATTCTTTAAGTCTACAAGTTGAAAGTCTTTAAATTCTTCAAGTTTGCAAGTTAAAGTCTCAAATCAATTAAATTTTCAAGTTGAAGTCTTCAAATTCTTCAAGCTTAGTCTTTGAAAGATAAAATATCTCGACAAGACGTGAAGAATAGGGCATTTCTTGTCATTTAAAATTTATTAAATATAAATTTATAAAATGATTCGATTTTATATTAAATTCATGAATATATTAGTCCAAATAAATATTATGGATTAATATAATTGAGTCAATTATTTAAATCTAATAAATATGGATTTAATTAAACCCGCTCCATAAAGCCCATATGCCTTGTCACTTAAATCTGATTGGCCGAAGGGAATCTTATTCCTATCACAAATCCTCTATTCTAAAACTATAAATAGGGGTCCTCATAATTCATAAAAGAAACCAAGAATTATAAACAAGAAGCTAGAGAGAGATCGTGGATCAAAACCCACAATCTCTACAAGTTCAAGAATTCTAACGAAAAGCTAGAGAAAGCTCGTGGATCAAAAGCCGCAGATTTCTCTACAAGCTACAAGTTCAAGAATTTTAGAAGTCAAGATCAAGATAAAATTCAAATTCAAGAATGATCAAGATCAAGACCGCCAGATTCAAGAACAAGCTCGAAGCCCTTGGATTCAACTAGAAGTCAAGATCAAGATAAAGATCGTCAGATTCAAGATCAAGCTCGAAGCCCTTGGATTCAACTAGAAGTCAAGATCAAGATAACGTTCAAGTTCAAGAACGATCAAGATCAAGATCGTCGGATTCAAGATCAAGCTCGAAGCCCTTGGATTCAACTAGAAGTCACGATCAAGATAAAATTCAAGTTCAAGAACGATCAAGATCAAGCTCGAAGCCCTTGGATTCAACTAGAAGTCAAGATCAAGATAAAGTTCAAGTTTAAGAACGATCAAGATCAAGACCGCCGGATCCAAGATGAAGGTCTAATCCCTTGAATTCAACTAGAAGTCAAGATCAGGATAAAGTTCAAGTTCAAGAATGATCAAGATCAAGACTGCTGGATCCAAGATCAAGCTCTAACCCCTTGAATTCAACTAGAAGTCAAGATCAAGATAAAGTTCAAGTTCAAGAATGATCAAGATCAAGCTCGAAGCCCTTGAAATCAACTTGAAGTCAAGATCAAGATAAAGTTCAAGTTCAAGATAAATTCAAGATGAAGCTCAAGAGCCCTTGAATTATATCCGAAAAGGCGAATTTAGAGGAATCATAGAGATTGTTACAGTCACACTTTAAATCAACAAAACGACTATTGCATAATTTTCCGTTATTGATTATTATTTTCTCAACGCGAATTTTATTGTCTACATATTCTATGTTCGAATTAGATTTTAAACTAAATTTGACACTTTGTTTTATTATGGGTTTCTTTTGAAAAGCTCAAACTCCTCAAGAACTACCTTGGAAATTTCTTATGCTCGAGGGTTTTTCCTTTTTTTTAGACTAGAGTTTAAAATTTAGGAAGTGAAGTTCAATACATGAATTTGATACATGTTTTACCCGCCTGAGCTTTGTGTTCGTGG